CTCTTCTAGTGCTCTAAGTGTGAAAACACTGGTGTGCACGTGTGGGCCTGTATGGATGTCTGTCCACTGACTGCTCGGTGAGTATCTCCAGTTCCATGTTGACAGGAGATGTTAGGTCAATCCAGTATCTTCCTTGCTTTTCCATTTATTGCAATGATGGCTGCTCAGATGGCGCGTCTCTCCGTTCGTTCACCGCACACCTTCTAACACCACATCAGGGCAAAAGGACACACCACTGCCGAGCCCAGACTGGTTGCCCTTATCACACACACAGAAAGACACATTTTCAAACTGATAACATCGGAGTCTTTTCTTCCTATGTAGGGGGTTGCATGTCAATGAGAAGCAGGGAAAGTCACTGGAATTACCCCTAATCAGATGCACTTACAAGAACATTTAACAAACCGATACTAGTGACGGTCAACATTATCAGAACCAAACCACTGTTTAGTGATAATATAATATGGCTGTTTACATGGAACAGATTGCATACCCTCACACCTTGATGAAAACACTTGCTATTCTTCTATTTCTTACAGTAAACATGGTGAGGCATGAACATGCAGTTCCTTTGTATCAGTTCAGTGATAAGCACCACAATATGGTAGTTAGTGGCAATCAGGCCAGTAAAGTTGATGGCGCCCACAAGATTAGCCAGATTTATTATTAACCAGAGTTTGGTTAAAAATCTGACCACTGAGATTTTCATGCGATGAATAAATGAATGCACAATCCCCAATAGACATTTGTTAAACTTGCCACAGCCATTTTAGCACTATACTGCCTGGGAGGTGTTTTTATTTTGCTTTACCCATCTGCGGCATGTCACATACCTGTCAAATGGAAGTTGCACTAGTTGTTTCAGAGATGTTTTCTTTAAGTGTTTCACACTGGTGAGAGATGTTTATTCTATAAATCAACTTAAAACAGACTTTATAACCATCAGTTTCATCCAGGCTTCTCTAAGTTGTTGCAGCGGTTTTCCTGAAGCAATTTACAGGCAGTTAGGTTTTATACCAGTTCTTATCAGCATTTGTTTCATGTTAGACCGGTTGAATAAACATCCAAATAAAAAGACAAAAATTGCTGCACAAAGCATCTTCACATGTATGAAAAAAATTCATCTCATCTCACATCTGTTTGTGCACACTTTTATACAATAACTGAGGCGGTCTTCCTGGGTCTTATATATTTGAGTCACCAATGCTATATCAGGAATGCAGTTGTGGAAGAGTACAAAAATATGTACAGGGACACTGCATCTACTCTAAAAAGTGAAAATCAAAAGGATTGAACCAAAACTCTTCTAGTGCTCTAAGTGTGAAAACACTGGTGTGCACGTGTGGGCCTGTATGGATGTCTGTCCACTGACTGCTCGGTGAGTATCTCCAGTTCCATGTTGACAGGAGATGTTAGGTCAATCCAGTATCTTCCTTGCTTTTCCATTTATTGCAATGATGGCTGCTCAGATGGCGCGTCTCTCCGTTCGTTCACCGCACACCTTCTAACACCGCATCAGGGCAAAAAGACACACCACTGCCGAGCCCAGACTGGTTGCCCTTATCACACACACAGAAAGACACATTTTCAAACTGATAACATCGGAGTCTTTTCTTCCTATGTAGGGGGTTGCATGTCAATGAGAAGCAGGGAAAGTCACTGGAATTACCCCTAATCAGATGCACTTACAAGAACATTTAACAAACCGATACTAGTGACGGTCAACATTATCAGAACCAAACCACTGTTTAGTGATAATATAATATGGCTGTTTACATGGAACAGATTGCATACCCTCACACCTTGATGAAAACACTTGCTATTCTTCTATTTCTTACAGTAAACATGGTGAGGCATGAACATGCAGTTCCTTTGTATCAGTTCAGTGATAAGCACCACAATATGGTAGTTAGTGGCAATCAGGCCAGTAAAGTTGATGGCGCCCACAAGATTAGCCAGATTTATTATTAACCAGAGTTTGGTTAAAAATCTGACCACTGAGATTTTCATGCGATGAATAAATGAATGCACAATCCCCAATAGACATTTGTTAAACTTGCCACAGCCATTTTAGCACTATACTGCCTGGGAGGTGTTTTTATTTTGCTTTACCCATCTGCGGCATGTCACATACCTGTCAAATGGAAGTTGCACTAGTTGTTTCAGAGATGTTTTCTTTAAGTGTTTCACACTGGTGAGAGATGTTTATTCTATAAATCAACTTAAAACAGACTTTATAACCATCAGTTTCATCCAGGCTTCTCTAAGTTGTTGCAGCGGTTTTCCTGAAGCAATTTACAGGCAGTTAGGTTTTATACCAGTTCTTATCAGCATTTGTTTCATGTTAGACCGGTTGAATAAACATCCAAATAAAAAGACAAAAATTGCTGCACAAAGCATCTTCACATGTATGAAAAAAATTCATCTCATCTCACATCTGTTTGTGCACACTTTTATACAATAACTGAGGCGGTCTTCCTGGGTCTTATATATTTGAGTCACCAATGCTATATCAGGAATGCAGTTGTGGAAGAGTACAAAAATATGTACAGGGACACTGCATCTACTCTAAAATGTCCCTTGGCAGACAAGCACTGAGCTTGGCTGAACACCATGCCTCCTCAGTGTAAGTAGCTGCAGTTTTCTGTAGTCTTCAGGCCTAGGCTGTCTCCCACTGTGGATACATTTGTTGCTGAATAAAACAGTCAGTGTTGTGGAAGAGATGAGGGTTAGGGTTAGGTAGGAATTATTACATATATCTATATACAGTAAGTAAGGTTGAAGGAAAAGGTTCAGTTTAGGTCATAAAGGTAGGTCGGTACCCAACAACAAAGCATTATTACAGTAGGGTCCAAAGGGTTTGAATTAAGGGATTATGAAGGGTTTATTATTGAATTAAGGGTCAGGGATTCTGGAAATGTGCCTATATGGCAAACACCTTGCATCACAGTAATCTCATTATGATTTTATTGCAGCACTGAAAACAAGGACGTCGTTTTTATCTTAGCTGCTGTTCCCCGCTGCAATGAGACAACTTTAATTAAAACGTGCAATGTTTTGGCAGAATGCGTCTTCAGTTTAAGGACACGAAGCAATTTGTAGTGTTACACAGGCAGGATTATTTTGAGGAAAATGGTGGAAACGAGTTGGACTGCTACCATGGTTAAAAAAAAAACCATAATAAACGTTTTGGGCAATAACTAGGAAGGTTGAATGTTTCCCCGTTATCACCGCTATTTCTGGACAGCGTTTCCATACACTATTCATGAAAACCGTATACAATTCATTAAACTCACCCCAAGGTTTGCTTAAGTTTGCTGAAATAGCTGGTTCATTAGGCGCAGGTGAGTAGAAATCCGCTTAAGGTCCATGCAACAGGAGAGCCAGAGGAGGGCGCAGCGGACTCCTCACACATCCAGGCACGGGGAGGTGAGCAGCGTGCGGATGTAACACGACTTCTGATTGGTTTAGCATTTGCAGCGATTATATCAAACTAGTCGTCATTGGACAGCTGTAAGTGGGCGGTGCTGTGCCTAGCGTTTCATTGATATATCCTTCAGCTGGTGGCTACAGTTTCACCACTGGGAGTGAAAGGACTACGAAAGTAATGAGGGCTTAATGTAGGGAGCTTTTCAAGAAGGTTTGACGATTGGTTTGATTATTGTCAGAGAGTGGCACACCAAAGATTTAGAGAATAAACAGCCAAAATGCTCTGCCACGTTACTCGTCCGGATTCGGTAGTGATGGAAGTGCAAGTTGATGCGAAGGCGAACGGCGAAGACTGTCTCAATAAGGTAGGCTGAGGAGGAAGAATACACATCACGACTTGTTATCGTGACACCGTTTAAGACACAGTGCTATAGTCAGGCAGGGCATCAGTGTGGTTCTTTCTTACGAAACTTAAATGTTTGTTTTTCTTAACTTAAACATCTTGTTCGATTCGCCTCTTGGCCTGTGTCACTCAGATGCTGTAGTAAACATGTTTGAGAAACTGAAATCGGTTTCTCCACTCCAAGGAACACGCTCCTAAGTTGTATCCACCACGGCTTTTAGTACATTATCATTAAATGCACCGTGAACTTAACGCCTGCTTCATTGTTGCGCACAGGAACTGAGGAAACTAATTGTTCTGCAGAGCACCATGTGCAGAAGAAAGGGCGATCAACTTGTAACAATGAAACTTTTAAAATGTCGATTCATCCAAATGTAGCCTTTTAACTTGCTATACATGCAGGGAAGTTTTAATCCACTGGGGGAAATGGCTATGATGGCTCTTACCTGCCTGGCTTAGCGTCACTTAGATGCAGGGCTTTGTGGAGGTTACTAGAGTTCATTCATCTGCCTTTGCAAGCGCCCAGCGTTCGCCTCCAGTCAAACTGAAAGTTCAGTCTGAGTCCAAGTTGTTGAGATGTTCACCTCTTTCCCCTCTAGAGTGGACATGGACAGGGTAGCGATGGAACTTTTTCTTTTCATCAGTAGTTGCGAGGGTTTTTATTTATTTATTTATTTATTGCTAATGAAATGTATAGCAATTTAGCATGCATGGCATATTCCCAGCATGCTGTGGGTGTGAATGAGTTTTATCTCCGGGTTCCCTGC